GTATATAAAATAAAGTTATAAAATGTTAGATGAAGATGTTAGATGAAGTTGAATTAAGTGCAGCTCGAGTTCAGCAGTCTGACTGCTGCAGGGAAGAAACTGTTTCTGAGCCTGGTGGTCTTGCTCTGAATGCTCCTCAGTCACCTGCTTGACGGGAGGGGCCGAAACATACTGTGTGCAGGATGAGTGGAGTCCTTCATGATGCGGAGTGCCCTCCCCATGCATTGTGACGTGTAGAGGTATGGAGGTGGTGGGAAGGCTGCTCCCCACAGTCTTCTGTGCAGCCTTAACCACCCTCTGCAGAGCCATCCTCTCAGCAACAGTGCAGCTGCTGTGCCACATGGTGATGCAGGTGCAGAGAAAGCTCTCCACCACACAGTGATAGAAGCTCCTCAGGACAGAGCTCCCAAGTCCAGCTCTCTGCAGCTTCCTGAGGAAGTAGAGATGCCGGTGGGCCTTCTTGACCAGACAGGAAGGGTTGGCCCTCCAGATGAGGTCACTGGTTATATGCACCTCCAGGTACCTGTAGCAGAAGACCATCTCCACAGCTCCTCTTCCGATGTGTAGGGGATGAAGAGGATCCTTGTCCCTTCTAAAATCTACCACCATCTCTTTGGTCTTCTTCACACTGATGCAGAGATTATTTTCTCTGCACCACTGCAGCAGGTGTTACACCTCCTCTCTGTATTTGGACTCATCAATGTTCATGATGCACCCCACTACTGCTGTCATCTGCAAACTTCACTATATGGCAGCTGGAGTGACACCCCAGCTATATGTCAGCAGATTGAACAGAAGGTGACTCAGCATGCAGCCCTGGGACGAGCAAGTACTGAGGGTGATGGAGGAGGAGACAATGTTGTGGATCCTGACAGTCTGAGATCTGTTGGTCCGGAAGTCCAGGATCCAGTTCCCCAGTGTGGAACTCAGTCCAAGAAAGGAGGGCTTCTGCACCAGGATCTGTGGGATGATGGTGTTGAAGGCCAAGGAGAAACCCAGAAAGAGCAGACGGATGTAAGAATTTCTGCTCTCCAGGTGGGTGAGGGCTTTGTGGACCAGCGATGAGATGGCATCAGCAGTGGAGCAATTCTTTCTGTATGCGTACTGATGTGAGTCAACGATGACGTCTATGGAGTCCTTGATGTGGGTCATGACAAGCCTCTCAAAGCACTTCATGACTACCGATGTTAAGGCTATAGGTTGGTAGTCATTCAGGCCTGTCACTGTGGAGCACTTGAGGACAAGGACAATAGTGGTGGTTGTAGGGGAATACATGTACAGGATATTGGACTTCTGGTCCGGTCAAACCCGTACCCTTTAACAGGTTTTACTCTGGACCGGCCTCACCTCAAACATATATGAACCATGAGTTCTTGTAATGAACTTAATTCCTGTCCCTCGAAGAAAACACAAAGAATCCGTAATTTAAATACAGTTCTGTAATGTTTATTTTCAGTTTGAATCCTGTTCTAGAATTGCGCCGCTCAAGGTGGCTGCATGTTGGAGTAGCTCTGTTACTTTCATTCTGAGATATTACTTTTGATAACTTTAATTCCTCTTTTTTCTGGATATAAATAACTTTTTTTGGATGATTATTTCCTCTGGTGTTGGATGCTGTGCAGCTGGAAGGATTTTTACAGAAATATTTTTGCTTTGGACATTTGTTATGATGCGTAACCATAACAACAAGGTTTTTTACAACCGGGAGCAGCTGATTAACATCTCCAAATCTCAAGTAATATCTCAACTACAGCCTCAAATCCCAAATGAGTTGAAAAGGAGGCGTCGTGGATGCAGAGCAGGAGCAAAGAAGAGGGAGAAAGAAAGAAGAATGCAATTTAAACCATCTCTTCCATCGATCATGATAGGCAATGTGAGATCGCTGGGAAACAAGTTGGATGAACTTCAAGCCCTAACAAGGACCCATCCAGAGTATCGGGAATGCAGTATTATGTGTTTCACTGAGACATGGCTGCAGGATCATATCCCAGACTCCAGCGTTTCATTGCCAGGCTTTCTGACCATACGAGCAGATAG